GTTATACTTATTATAAAACATAGGTTGTTTGTGTGTGTGTGTGTGTGTGTGTGTTCGTTTATATATGGGATCTGATTTCCTACATTTTTCAACCGATTTCAACAAAACTTTGGCAGGTAGTGTTTCTTATTGTCTTGCACACTTTTTTCTTTATTTTTACATTCAGAATGCTTTAAAAATTCCATTTACAATTCCTTGTTTAGGATAAAATTCTATTCAATCGGTAGACTCATAACGATTGAAAACAATGTTTTTGTTTGGGTTTGACCAATTCGTAAAAAAAAAAAAAAAAAAAACTAATTAAGACATGCGTCAATTTTATTTTTCAGTCTTTATGATGGTCGATACTTGATACTATCTCTTACTGTTACATCCCCGGGCAATGCCGGGGTCTACTGCTAGTAGGTAATAAGCAGATAAGCTAGATCTCTAACTTTCTACTTGTTTACTCCTTTTACTGCTGATTCTCGGCATCAGTCTATATGTATTTGGAAGAGTGTTCATCTCCACAACAAAAATGTCAGATTTTTCATACTTTTTATTTTTTTTTTTTTTTATAACTTATATTAACCCAGGGAAATAAGCCATGGAAAAACTTCACAACTGAACAAAAAAAAAAACAAAATCATGGAATTTTAATTTGATTCAACCAATCCATCTAATTTCACGAAATTACGAATTTTTATGGTTATCACATTCTCTGACCAGACACCTGATTATTTTGAGGTGGATACTTTAAAGAGTGTGCATGCATCAGTAGACCACAGGCAATTCAACAACTCAAGGACAGTATCTGTGCAGAAATTTTAGGGTTGCAGCCAGAGTTATTAACCACTGTTTTCGAGAAGGCTATTGAAAGAGTGCATCGGTGTGAAGTCAAAAATGGAGGATATCTACATTGTTTATATTTTCATAATTAAATGGAAATATATTTCCAATATTTGAATTTTCATTGTGCATAAAACTATTTTTGAATAATAAAAAATTGTTACTATATGTTATGCCATTTTGCTTGATTTTCACTGTATCGTGCCGTAAATTGACAATTTCTTCCTCAACAGTCTGTATTGTTAACTTTGAATCCTGTTCAAGTTTTGTAAGTATTCACGAGCGTATTTCCACATCTTTGCTTGATGTCAGACCTTTAATAAAAACTAGACATTTAAATCTGTATAGGGATAATTCATCCAGTTTAAATTTCTCATACTCACAGTTGACTTTACCAGCATATGTAACACAATCTTCGGGCACTAGAAATATCAACTATCTTTTTTCTGATTGTAAGTATGCGTCCTTTTTGTTTCCAAACTATTTCATTGCTCACATGTTTAGTCCATGGTATTCTCAACATCTTTCTGTAGAACCACGTTTTTGTAGCTTCAAGTCTCTTCATTTTTAAGGAGATTGTCAAGCATCTACTATAGAACAGACATTACATAAAAGTTCAGTAGCATTTACTTTTCGTCCTTACTAAGAACACTGTTTTGTGAAATGACGTTTTTTCTGGAGTATTCGGCAAATTACGATTTTTTATGGTTATCACATTCTCCTGACCAGACACCTGATTATTTTGAGGTGGATACTTTAAAGAGTGTGCATGCATCAGTAGACCACAGGCAATTCAACAACTCAAGGACAGTATCTGTGCAGAAATTTTAGGGTTGCAGCCAGAGTTATTAACCACTGTTTTCGAGAAGGCTATTGAAAGGCTATGAAATATTGTTTATATTTTCATAATTAAATGGAAATATATTTCCAATATTTGAATTTTCATTGTGCATAAAACTATTTTTGAATAATAAAAAATTATTAAAATTACTATATCCCATATATCAGAATATATTTTTACTTTATTGTTTTACAGGTAAATATGAACTTTCTGACATTCTGATATTAGTCTTTCATCCACATCTTTTACTAACATTAAAATTATTAATTAAAATTATTGACTTGATGTTAAGATTACTTGTAGCAGTTTTTATTATTGCTTTACAAAGATCTTCTTTGCTGGAATATTGTTTTTCATTCTTATACATATATATATATTTAATTAATTCATTGAGTCTGATAGAAACCTCAACAGGAATAGAGGAAGCACTGGACGGCCGTTTCGTCCTATAATTGGGACTCATCAGCAGTGCGCATCCACCATCAAGTATCGAAACCCTGACAGTTGGGTTGCCAAGCGAACAACATACCAACTGTTCCAAATGGGCCTCGGTAACGAAGAGATTCCAAATCAGACTCAACTTAGCGCCGCTCGCTCACATATTCCGTGGCGGAACTCGACTGAGTTCTCTGTAAACATAGGACTGTGCCCCCGGGAGCCACGACTACTCTCACCAAGCCGCGCCAACTGGAGCATTAGAAGCCGGTTCAAGCGATGATAAACACAGATAGTAATATGTGAGCGAGCGGCGCTAAATTGAGTCTGATTTGGAATCTCGTCGTTACCGGGGCCCATTTGGTACAGTTGGTATGTTGTTCGCTTGACAACCCAACTGTCAGGGTTTCGATACTCGACGGTGGATGCGCACTGCTGATGAGTCCCAATTATAGGACGAAACGGCCGTTCAGTGCTTCCTCTATTCCTGTTGAGGTTTCTATCAGACTCAATGAATTAATTAAATATAATTATCAAATCCTCCTACTAATTAATATATATATATACACACACCTCCATTTGTAGTCACAAATTATCTATTATGTTAGCTTTTTAGCTAGTAGCACTACTTTCAGAAAGTTAATATATGTATTTCTTTTGCTTTTGGACAGTAACTATGTTTGTGACCTGTTTTTCCACTTAAAACTTTTTGGTTTATAATGGACAGTCCTTTCTGAGATGAAGTATACGACAACCAGAGCATGGCTTAAGTTTTGCAATATTTTTATTCTGGATTTTTTCTTTTGGTACGACTGTCTTTTTCCAAACTGTTTTTACATCTATCATGCCATTTGGCTTGATTTTCACTGTATCATGCCGTAAATTGACAATTTCTTCCTCAACAGTCTGTATTGTTAACTTTGAATCCTGTTCAAGTTTTTTAAGCATTCACGAGCGTATTTCCACATCTTTGCTTGATGTCAGACCTTTAATAAAAACTAGACATTTAAATCTGTATAGGGATAATTCATCCAGTTTAAATTTCTCATATTCAGTTGACTTTACCAGCATATGTGACAAAATCTTCATTTTCGTCCTTACTAAGGACACTGTTTTGTGAAATGACGTTTTTTCTGGAGTATTCGGCAAATTACGAATTTTTATGACCAGACACCTCCTTGTGCATAAAACTATTATTTTAATAATAAAAAATTGTTAAAATTACTATCTCTCATATATCAGAATATTTTTTATTTTATTGTTTTACAGGTTAATATGGACTTTCTGACATTCTGTAGCCTTCATTAATCTTTCACCCTGTTATAGTGGAACACACCTATTCTATAGTTAATAGACTCTCCCACCTATAATAATTAGTAGTATTAATAGTAACGAGTTAGTCAGTCGATGTCGGACGACTGTTAGTCGGATATTAAAGTATCAGCCACCACAACTAGATTTCTCTGCGTCATTACCTATTATATCAAGTTCCTAACATTTTCTACGTCGAACCTATTTTAGGACCGACTTAGTGAAATACAAGCCTCCACTGTGAAACTACTCTACAACACACCCACAGATTTTACTAACATTAAAATTAGTAATTAAAATTATTGATTTAATGTTTTATAGATTAAAGCACACACAAATATGAACTTATTTTAAAATAAAAAAACCTTCCCCCATGAAAGACTGAACACTTCGAAAGAAGTTATTAGAAGCAGAGAGTTGTCTCTTGCCACACCTGAGGAAATCACACCTGACTTAGAAAGCCTTAGGGCCAGTGATTACCGTAGAATCACGATAAAAAAAAGGAATAGAGAAATTATAAAATTAGAGACATATATCCTTCCTTTTGTCACATTTGAAATCCCTAGAAAAATAAAAGTCGGGTAAAATATTGAAGAAATGGAACAATATATTCCTGTTTCACTAAGGTGCTTCAAGTGCCAAATATTTGGGTAGGTTAGGGGTAGCTGAAGGAGTCGCCCAACATGTGGAAAATATGATCAGATTGATTCAGAGCACACAGAAGAATGCCATTATGAAGTAAGATGTGCTAACGGCCAGGAAAATCATCCAGCAGACTCATAATCATGCGACTTCCGGAAAAGGGAAAGAGAGATTGTTGAGGTGGTGCATAAACGAAATTTCTTATTTGTGGGGGCAAGGCAAATTGTAAAATGCTACATGAAAGGCCCTTCCTATTAAAAAAATAACACAAAGAAGGAGCATAACGAATACCAGTCAACCTGACAAATACAGAGCCCTCATTGAGAAGCACATACACTTAGGGCCATTGACTGGCCCAAATTTCAGAACTACCTGAATGTCATATACTCCACGAAGATAGAGCCCCAAAAGAAAGCCAATGAATTGGAATAATAAATAAAGAAAGAAAAAAAAACAAATACAATATCTATCGCGCATACTCAAACCTTTCCTTCAAAGCAAAGGTCACATCAATCTCCTATTTGTCCATCAAAAATAGACTGAAGAGTTCATCTCCCCAAAAACGGAACTAGCAAAACAAAAACCAGATATTCACAGAAGCCAAATTTCTACCCAAAACCGATTTGACAAACTTGAAGAAATGACGGTGGGTAGGCCAGAACCCACAAACAGTCAAAACCCCTAAACTCAAAACCTCGGAAAATTAAATCACAACCACATACTAATCTAAAGCCCCAAAACATTTAGCAATCATGTTTTAAATCTTGACATATACATACCTGATGTGGGCACAATGTTGGGACCACAGAAGGAATACATGGATTAGAGATAAGAAAGATACATTAAACAAAAAGGTTACAAAGATAGTGTAAGTGTAAGCGGAGCTTACTATGTGCTCGTGTCCAATATTGGTAGTCGTACGCGGCTGATACTACGGTATTAGAATTTATTTATTTTTCTTTCTCTCTCTTTCTTTCTTTTTCTCTCTCTCTCTCTTTCTTTCTTTTTCTCTTTCTTTCTTTCTTTCTTTTTCTCTCTCTTTCTTTCTTTCTTTTTCTCTCTCTTTCTTTCTTTCTTTCTTTTTCTCTTTTTCTCTCTTTCTTTCTTTTTCTCTTTTTCTCTTTCTTTTTCTCTCTCTCTTTTTCTCTCTCTTTCTTTTTCTCTATCTTTTTCTCTCTCTATCTTTTTCTCTCTCTCTTTCTTTTTTCTCTCTTTCTTTTTCTCTCTCTCTCTTTCTTTTTCTCTCTCTCTCTTTCTTTTTCTCTCTTTTTCTTTCTTTCTTTTTCTCTCGCTTTTTCTTTCTTTCTTTCTTTTTCTCTCTTTTTCTTTCTTTTTCTCTCTTTCTTTCTTTTTCTCTATCTTTTTCTTTCTTTCTTTCTTTCTTTTTCTTCCTTTCTTTTTCTCTCTCTCTTTCTTTTTCTCTCTCTCTCTTTCTCTGAGTATTATGTCGCATACTTTATATAGTCCTGGAAGAGTCCATGTTGTAGGTATGTTACGGTCTCACAACAATACCATAGAAAGACAACTCCACAATACCTTAATAAAATACACAAATAGACCACGTAAAATAGTTTTACCTTTTCCAAAATGAAAAACAAATGCCTACTGCAAATTAAGGAAATTGCCCAACGACCCTTATTTAAAATTAGACTGTGAAGAAATCTCGGTAGTGGAACATGACAAGTTCTCAGACATCTTATTTGATCAAAAATTATCATTCATTCCCCACCTAAAATATTTAGAATTAAAATGTAGTCAAGTCTTCCAACTTCAGATCGACAAGCATTAATTAAATTATACAGCTCACTCAAAACTAGATTAGGCTAATTTTATATACGATAATATATTATATATACCTGAAAATATTCAACACAACTTATGACCAAGGCCTCAGACTAATACTTTGAGCTTTTAGGACGTCCTAATGAGAGCTTTTACACAGAAACTAATGAAACACCCCGACATTTAAGGCGCACTAAACTGGTACTACAGAAATATGTCAAAATAAAATAATGTCCAACAAATCCAAATTATAGCCGAACCTTTAAACGTAATTCCTGTGATCTCTTCCAATAAAAAGACAATACAATATTAACCCTATGTACTCGGGATGAAATCCATTGCTGAAGAGTTAGGGACCTCACACTCTAACATAAAAGAAACGATTGAAGCCAGTATTCCACCATGGACAATGAAGCAAACTGAAGTCTTGCTAAAGTTAAATAAATTCCCTAAACAAGACGTACCCAATTGTATTCCAGGACAAGTTTCAGAGCATATTGGAAAATTACCCTAACCATGTTACAATTTATAAAGATAGGTCAAAGTGTGAGGACAAGACAGAATTTGAAGTAGTGAGCCAAAATATTACAAAAATTAGCTCCCCGCCCAAAGGAAGATAAATTTTCACTAGGGAGGCTTAGATAATAGAGCTACACAGAGAAAACAAAAGAAATTCTTAATTTTTTTCGGACTCTCTGCCGTAATGGCTTTGAAGGAAAAGAAATCCAATAATCTACTCATTATCAAACTATTATGTAAAATGAGCACTACTTGCAAACATAAATATATCAAATTATGTGGGATTTCTAGCCAATAGATAAAACAAACCTAGAAGTCAAATCAGTTTTAGATAAGGATGAAGATTCAATGACCAAAATCCCATAAACTGACTTTAAGAAGGTTGTTAACAAGTATGTTCAAAAGGAATTGCAATGGCACTGGGCAAATGACTCAGAAAATAAGCTTTTCACAATTCAACCCAAACTCAGAGAATGGAAGTTGGCTTTCAGAAAATCTCGAAAGGAAGAAGTAGTATTGGCCCACTTATGCATTGATCACATGAGAATAACCCACTCATACTTGTTAAACAATGAAGATTAACCAGTGTGCCAAGCATGTGAAACTATTAAACATATATTATCCGAGTGTTCAGACATGGCTCTCTCAAGATGAAAATGCTATAATTTAAACAACATATATGAGATCTTCAAGAAAACAAAACTGGATGACTATATCATTTCTTAGAACCGTGGGCCTCTGCCAAAAGATATAAGGTAAATGAGAATGTCATTAAAATCAATTACACATCTACAAACTGTATATCTGAAAAGAATCCATCAATGAAACCAGACTCCCAACAAAAACCCTCTTCACAAAAGTACGACAATGAAACCTGACTTACAAACGGATATCTTATAAAGAATACATATTCTATTCATACAAATCTATTGTAAAAATCTTTGAAGGAAAAAAAATCCAACATTATCAAACTATTATGCAAAATGAGCACTATTTGCAAACATAAAAAGATCAAACTATGTAGGATTGCTAGCTGCATCTGAGTGGAAGGTAACAATAAAGCAAACCTAGCAGTCAAATCAGATGTCACCACTGACATTAACATCCAGTACAGATTCGACAGCGGAACTGACTTTGTTCTCGTACAAAGTTAATGTATACCTATTTTTGCAGACCGCCGTGTAGATTAAATCCACCTAAAGACAAAAAAAAAAAAAAAAAAATAACAAATTAAACTCTTATTATAAATAAATAAAAGTGACCAACATAATCACCACTAACCTTAAAGCCTCAGCAAATCAATGTTTCCTCTTGGAGAATTTCTTTCAATAATAATAATAATAATAATAATTAAAATAACATATAAATTGATTATATAACCACTACATTATCGCGGCGATTAACGTGCTATTTATCTGATAAATCAATTAAATCGCATGTCAGTAAACATCACCACAATCATACACAAGTAATCCAACAAAAATAATTCTAAATTTTCGCTGTTTAACTTGTTATAAATTTTTTTTTATGTCAATGCTCTGGTTATCGGTGTTGCATTTCTAGAGCGGAGGGGGTGAGGGTCCTCTGGTCATGATTTCTGATGTTTTTGCTGAACACAGGGTTATATAGATCGATAATTTAAATGGACCGAAACGATCGGCCTGTCCAGAATAAAGTGAGGGACGGGGAACTTGTATTAACAAAGATATCAAAGACACAGAGCGAATCTCTATAGTGGGACACTTCAAAGGGGAGCGGCGCTTCTGATGTCTCTTTCTTATAGGGCCGTTACCGTCGGAAGGCTGGTGAAAAATGATGCGCCTTGTTAGACGGTCCATGTGCGGAGGGAGAGAGTGAGCTTGACAAAAGGGGCCTCTTTCGGCTGTTGCCGGTACTGGTTAACGTCCCTCGGCAAAGAACAAAGGAAACTAAAAAAAAATTGGGATCGTTAGTCATAGTAATATATACGCAAAATTATGAACAAATAACAAGCAATATACACTTTGAAATTTTGTTAGAAATAGCGGCAGAAATGGGTAAGAGGTGTTGCTTATTCATATATAACCATGAGTACACGCACTCATATCTATATATCTATCTATCTATATATATCTATCTATCTATCTATCTATCTATATATATATATATATATATATATATATATATATATATATACGTTACATATTAGTCGATTTAAAACAGTGCTCGATAGAGTAACCCTAGAGCTTTATAAATAAAAATATAGACAACTATATTCGTTTCGAAAAACCCTCGAATTTTTGATTTGCTAATAATCAAATCAATCTCGAGGGAAAAAAAGGTTTTAAAAAAAAAAGAAAGAGCTAGAAACATGAAAGTCTGCCGACAAAAAAATCGCACAAATACAGGTTTGAAGCCCAAAGAAAAAACCCCGATACGAGTAACAACTAACTAACAAAAGAGCTCAATACAACCGTAGAGCAGACCTAGAAAAGCCGGCTTTCCCTAACGATCCGTTTAGGTGAAAATTAGGTAGGTTTGTCTGGCTCACTAGGTTTATCTATCTATCTATCTATCTATCTATCTATCTATATATATATATATATATATATATATATATATATATATGTAAATGAAGAAATATACTCTTAAGTTGTGCTATATGGGATAAAGTACCCAATATCAGAGATAGAGCGTGTGTAAATATAAAAGTAAACATTGAAGTCAACACTTAGAAACGACAGGCTGTTTCATGCTAGACGGAATTGTCAGGCCACAAGTGTTTTTTTTGTTTTTTTTCTCGGCTATTTATATATACGGTTCAGTGTTGCATTGTGGGTAGTCTATTTTGGCAGTTATTTTACCGGAAGTCGTTTATTTATTTATTTGGGTTAAATTATTTTGCTTGTTTTTATTTATTTTTAAATATATATATGTTTGTTTATTTTTATTTATTCTTTTCATTTTTCGACTTTTAAGTAACGTAGTATTTTTTTATCGTTATATAATAGTTATAGCTATGTTTTTCGTTCGATTTTTGATTTGATTTTTATAGTCTAACTAATATTTTGGTCATAATGGTTTGTTGATTTGTTTATTATTTACTTTATTTGGGTTCATTGATTTTGTTTTTTATTCATTTATTCTATTTCGTCTATTCTAACGGGTGTGATTTCGTAATTTATTTGGGTTATTTTACTTATTTTATTGTCATTTGCTTTATTTTATTCTTTTTTTTCAGTTTTCGATATTTAATTAATGTAGTAAAAATTTGTTTTCATGTCTGCATTTTTAGATGAGCTCGGATCGTTGATTTAATAATTTATTTTCGTCTGGGAAGGTAGTGATAGCTATTTTTTCCTCCAAGCAAAATTTGCAAGTTTTGGATTGGTTGCTGTAGGCTGATAATCTTTCCCTTATTTTCCAAGATGTATGTAGAGCTGGGCACTAGTATTCGAGGTTACCCGTCTACTAGGGCGGCTAGCCAATTGCAGACGCTTGATCAAGCTCATTTATGCTTATTCTACAGCCACAGAGCCCACCTGTGGTTTATACTGCAACTATACTGAGCAGACCGTAGTTACAGTTTCTGGGAGAGAGCGTGTTATCTAGCATGATCAACAATCTGAACAACGTCATCGCACTCAAACCTTCGGTCAACCCATGATATGGTTTTCAGGTACTTTTCAAAGTGTCGCACGCTGGGATCGTCCCCTCTAGTCCGATAACATTTGGAAGTTTCCTTCCTGGCCTATCGACCATGATTATATATATATATATATATATATATATATATATATATATATATTAAGAAATGGACAAAGTCCGACAATTTATTTATTAAAGACATTATTATTAAAGGTAAATGTTATTTAATACTGTTTATTATAAACAGAGCATTTACTTAAATACTTGTATCTAGAAAAAAAAGAACGTTAAACATAAAAATGTCTTTAATAAATAAATTGTCGGACTTTGTCCATTTCTTAATATATGACGTCATTTGTTTACATTTGATACGCCAGAGCAGTTATGAATGTACGAGATTCATGGAAGATTGAAGTTTATAAGCAGTAAATTCGACCTTGCCTACCGAACGCTCCTTTGTGGCCGAGTCGGTTAAGGCACGTCAGCGTAAATGACGGTTCCGTATAGGATG